CCTACAGTATTAAGTGATGGACACAAGGGGTAAGCTAAGCAATAGGATGCACTGAGTAGAGCTGAGTTGTTTTATTCCTCTAATCACTGCAGTTCTGGCTACACAAGAGCAGCAGGGAACATACTACATGTATCTTTATTTATCCAAGACAGATGAATTAAACTTCCTTAATGTAAATGAGGAAAATACAGGGCATTTGGAACACTATAAATTTGCAAGAATGTACCAAATTCCCTATTTGCTTGTTTCTGATCCATTTCTGCTGATTCCTCAACACTACAACATAAATCTCTTCTGGAAACACTAGGAGGGGTGTCTCCAGCAATCCCTTCATGTCAGACATTAACCCCACATCTGCCTAACCCATCCCTGTGTTGGGTGTAAATGTCACTACAGCAAAAGCTTCACAATTCAGTGTCTGCTCCTCAGCTGCTGCAATCCACAACGAGCCCAAAAACCTCCCTGGCACTGAATGCACATGGAAGCAGCAGGCTGCAAAGCAGGGAAGCTGGGAATTGGGCACACTGTCCATTCTGCCACTCTTTTTTACAGGGACAGCATCTGAAAAACAAGGCAGCATGAAAAGCTGGGAGCAATAACGTGATAGATGAATCTGGAATGAATCACTGGATACCATGAGTTTCAGCCCTGAGACTGAGGCAGATCCTCAGGGAAAGATTTAGGATAAATGCAGCTCCTAGTGAAGTCTACAGAAGTCTTCCCAGCAACTTCAAGTGGGAAAGGATTAGGCCACATACAACTGCCTCACTGATAATCATTGAGCTAGAAGAATCATTCTTTGATACTAATACCTGCCTTCCCCTGGCAGAAATAAACATCTCATGCAATAATGCCTTCTTCCTGAGCATCTGATCATGGTTTGAACACCACCGCTGTGGTGGGTGTTTTAAATTTACAGAACACTGAAGAAAATTATACTCTAGCCTCCACATTTATAAACCAACGAAATGAGTGTTTTTTGGCATTTCTTTACTATCTTACATGTAAGGATCTTACAGGCTCTAACAGTGCTGGAATTTAATGCCAAATTCTCTTGTGATCCATGAAAGTATCACTACCACTGTGCTAGGGAAAGTTAAGCAACACAACTGAACTCACAAAGCAAATCAGCATCAGGCCATGTTTCTGGATGCCCAGCCCCTGCCTTTACCCACAGGATAACACACTATTCCAGTGCTCCTATTATATTTGAATGACACATATTTATGTCCAAGCATCAAAAGTGCTTCCACTCATCTCTAACGACTTCCAGGCACGGCAAGAAGATTGGAGGCCTGAACATTCTCAGCACACAGATTATGGTATTAGCCATTCATGAGATACGAGCTGTTAACATTCCCTGGTGCTTTGTGTTATTTCAGTTTATAATCCCACTCTCAAACAGCACAGAGCACTGCTGTCCAGCTGGAGGGATTCAGAACATACCTGTGGCAAAGTGAGGTTGCAGTTGTGCACACAGAGGGGGAGAGAGGAGAATTAGAGCAGCACTCCTCAGGTCTGATATTCCAAACCACAACTCAGGGATTGACTGTTTGCAAAGGGGCACACAAGTCTTTATCTTAACAGCATCCTGTCCAACAGCAAACTGGAGTGTTAGCTTTGGTGTTTTCAGCTGCACAGGTAACATAAAATGATCACATGTACTTGAAAGTAAAGAGAGTCAGTAAAATTCATTTATGATACATTGCTGTGCACACCCAGATACCTACACACTCCAGATATTTGCACACACACAGAGAAATGACTCTTGGAAACCTCAGGACAGGCAAGAAAAAACAAAGGAGAATGGAGGTTTCCAGTATCAGGCAAGAAAATGCAGATTTGATGGGAACGTGCAGAGGCTGCTGCCCATCCAGGAGGAAGGGGCAGAAGTCTGAAGGAAGTACTTGATCCACAAGTGCTCACAGGACAGGAAAGACACACTAATTCTGTTGGCATTTAATCTGAGGATTAACCATTGTCTGCCAAGCTATCTGATCCACAGCAAGTCTGAAAGTGCTTTTAAAATACATTGATTCTTGCTGCCAGTGAAGGAAGCTGCTGTACAAATCAGCTTTGTGTCATTTGTTGTGGTTCTTTCAAGTTCCCCAACAGGTTCTGATACTCACAAGGCTCTGGTTGAGAGGGCAGAGTCACCTGATGCTTTTTGACACCATCGAACAAGAGTTCTGCACCACCTCTGAAATAAAAACAATGAACCACTGAGATTCTGCTTTATTGTCTAAAGCAAGAGGGTACAAAAGAGGCGATTTACATAGATGCCACAACAGAGAAAACAAATGACACACATTACATTTAGCACAGGATTCTCTTTGTCCTTTCCACCCCCCCCACCAAACCACAAGTCCCCAGAGGAAGCTGCCATCTCCAACACACAGAGGAGGCTCCTGTGGGACAGACCCCCGTGGTGCCAGGCATCATCCCAGCAGAGCAGGGTGATGGCTCCAAACCCAGCATGTCCACAAGGCACCCTGCAGCACCCAGCCCCACACTTCCCCTCTCCCTCAGCTGCTGGCCTCCCTCCATCCAAACCCCAGCACAGCCACCCCTGACTGCTCCTCCCTGACACCTTGTAGCCTCAAGGCCTTTCAAGAAATATTCCCTTGGTTTCCAGGTGGGAACAGGGTGAGGAAGTGGCTCCTGAACGGCCAGTTGCCCTGAGTCCTGGCAACCCTTTCAGATTGACTTCCTGCAAACTATTCCCTCCTGTGGACTTGGCTGGGAGAAGCCAGCAGAGCAAGGCACAGAGGTGACAAGTTACAGTCATGGAATCACAGAATGTGTGGGGCTGGGAGGGACTTTTAAAGGCCATCTAGTCCAGCCCCCCCCCCTGCAGTGCACAGGGACCTTTTTACCTAGGTCAGGTTGCTCAGAGCCTGGTTAAGCCTGACCTTGAATGTCTCCAGGGATGGGGCCTCCACCACCTCCCTAGGCAACCTGTTCCAGTGCTTCACCACCCTCATGGTAAAAAACTTCTTCCTAATGTCTAACCTAAATCTCCCTTGATCTAGTTTAAGGCCATTGTCCCTTGTCCTGTCACTACAAGCCCTTGTAAACAGCCCCTCCCCAGCTTTCCTGGAGCTCCTTCAGGCACTGGAAAGCACCTGAAAGTAAAAATAAAAAAATAAAGAATTTTGCCTCCCTGAACAACCCTGTTATCACCCCTCTTCTGATACTCAGAACACACAGGGGGGACCAGCCTCAGGTAACTCAGTGATGGCTTCTGCAAACACAGGAGATCACACATGAGCAAAATAGGCAGAGGAGCTGGTAAAAATGAGATTTAAATTGAGTCCAGGCACTTAATCTCCTGAGGCCCTTGGAAAAAGTCCTTAATATTTGTAACTGCAACTTACAAGCCTCAGGAAGCTCCTCAACAATATTCCTTTCCTGGAGAAAGAACACTCCTGGAAACACTGAGCTTTACAAACATAAATCAGTCTCCCTGATGCTGTGAGGTCCGAGGCCAAATGCAGCCTTAGATGATGACAAAACAATGGATAACAAACATGGATGCTCCTCCAAGATCTGGGACACAGAAGTCAGCTCCTGACTCTAGACTGAACAGGATGGCCAAAGTTGTAACAACTCAACTGAGGTAGAAAAACAACCAAAGGGCATATAATTGTGGCAAAACATTCTTCCAAAATAAACATAAATTACTGCAGAAAAGTGTTCTGCAATTTCTGAATTCTGAAACATTTTCTGTCACTGTCTGGCCGTGCACTGGTGCCTCCTCACATCTCTCAGAAACCAACCCAGTAAGAGAGAAGAATTGAAAATAAACAATCCCCACCTAAATACCAAATACAAAAGATACATCCAGACCTCACTTAAGTTCCTTTAAATTGAATATCTAAAAAATACCACACTGGGTTTTCTTGGCTCTGCAACAGAGGAGCACAACAGAACCCTTGTTATGCCCTCAGCAGCATCACTTATATGCAGCAGCTCTCCTAAAGAGCACTCTGTTGGGGCTTTTCCACCAGCTGACAAAAAATAGTTATCTGGAAATTGAAGCAGTGATTATGAAGCAGGAGCTGAGAGAACAAGTCACAGCAATTATATGAAAAACATTTTTTTTATGTGATGAAAACAAGGTCACACTTTGTGAGGGCGGGAAACGTAGATGGCAGGATAAGGTCCCTCTGTAAGGCAGGAGCTGTGGGGAACTCAGCTGTGATCTGTACATAGAGAGCTCATTTATGCATTTCCAAGGGAAGCAAAAATGCATCTCACTCTTCTGGGAAAATTAGGAGAGTTGCTGCAGCTGGAAGCAGGAAAGACTGAGGAAAGGATTCTTAAGGAGAAGGGTACTTAAAGGATTGTGGCATTTCTGTGTTGGTGGAAGGGTGGGAAAAAGCAAATAAATAGTAGCCTTTTAGCTGCTGCTAAATGGAGGCTTTAACAAACGAACACAAGTATTTCCACAACTGTGCACAGCCCTCCAGGTCCTACAGCAAGGGAGAGCTGAAACCCAAAATGCTACCAAGCCAGAACCCGGAGGCTTTAAACTGAAAGAACTGAAACACAAAGCGAGTGCACATGTCACACACATAAAAACACACACATCTATAAGATATAGATACGTGTACGGTGAAAAAAAAGCCGAAAAACGACTGTAAGTTTTTAATAAAGAATTTTAATAATTAAAAAAAAAAAAGAAAAAGGTTGAAAAGGGGAGGAAGGACAGGACTTGCAG